TTTTGTTTGTTTAAATTTACAATCAGTGCTGGGGTGAAGTAATATATCATTGTTATTTTGATTTACACCTCTCATATGGCTTGAAGCCAGGAGCATTTCTTCATGTTTGTTGACCATGTGGATGTCTTCTTTGGTCACTACTAATTTTTTATTGGATTATTTGTCTTTTTCTTGATGAGGTGAAGTGTTTTATAGATTTTACTGATTAGTCCTTTGTCAGATGTCATTAAAAAAAAATCCCAGTCTGTGGGCTTTCTTCTTACTCTTTTGTCTTTTGATGCATGTGGTAGTTATATAATCTCATTCAACTTGAGGACATTAAGATTGAAGGGGTGGAGTCTAGCCTGTCAATCAGGTCACAGCCTGATGCCTCCTTGTGGACCTGGCCTTCTCATGAGGGTTCTGGAAACTTCCTCTCTTTCTATGGAAGCGGGACACACGTTCTCTGCTTGACCTTCCTATTGATAACCCACATGGAACCATGCTGATGGCAGCCAGAGTCCTGGAGCTGGAGGAGCCGCATGGAGACCAACACCAGAGCTGGGATGCTTCCACCACCACTGGATCCACAAGACTTTCCACCCACCAGCCTTTGATTTTCCTGCATTCGTTGGTATCATTGCATGTGCTGCGTGAGTCTAAAAAGGAATTTATGGACTAGTATTGGACCTATGGACTTGATCTGGACTGGGCTGGGATGTTATCTCAATATACAATTGCTCTTTGATATAAGCTCTTTCTTACACACACATGAGTGTCTCTGGAATTGTTTCTTCAGTCAACCTAGACTAACACAATACACTTACATCCAGTTTTCAAGAGGCCCCAGTCATCTTTCTTGTGCTGTGTGTTTTTCATTAGGTATGATAGTGTTTTAGGGCCCCTACATTTGTCCCTGTTTTTCCATTAATGATCTTTATCATTCTAGGTTTTACATTTAGGTATTTAATCCATCTTGCAATCATTTTTTCACATATGGAGTAATGTATGGGTCGTTTCATTTTTATGCAAATTGAGATCCAGTTTTGCCAGCCTCCTATGTTGATGAGACTCTCTTACCCGCTTAATGTTTCAGCTTTTAGTCAAAAATCAGGTGTACTGTCCACCTGTTTCCTTAATACTAAACCTATAAATATATGTACATAG